CATTTATGGAAATAATTGTATAGTTTTTTGCCCTTAGTATTCTGATGTGATGAATTTCATTAATAGTTATTTTTGCTGTTGAACCATCTTTTTAATCCTGGGATAAACCTTACCTAATCATGAATTTTTTTAAAAGTCAAATTGGTTTTGATTATCCAAAATTATATTTAATATTTTAAAATTAAATGGCTCTATATTTTCTTGTACTGTTTTCACCAGATTTTGGAACCAAGGTCACACTAACCTCATCAAATGAGCTGGTTTTCATTCTTTTTCTGTTTTTTGGAATAATTTGTCTAACATAGGAATTAATGGTTTTGAATATCTATTAAAACTCCCTTGTAACATCACCTGGGCCCAGGGCTTCTTCCAAGAGAAATTTTTAAACTATCCTATCAGTTTCTGTGATACATTTCTTAAATCAAGATCTATTTCAAGGGCCCATCTGTAGCTGCCTATGGTATTTTTGCAGATTTTGCAGATTTTGAGTTCAGTAAAAATACAAAGTTACATTGATGAATATTCTTTACAATTTCAGGATTTTATAGAGCAGCTACTAAAAATAATGCAAGAGGATATCACCAGAATAAATCTGGTGATAAATGTAATTCACATAGTAACAGAATAAAAGATGACGCTTCACTAGATTCAGAAAAACACTGGAAAACATTTAATACCTAATCATGTTAAAATTAGTAAACTTCAAATGGAAATGAATGTCCTCAATATGATAAAATCAGGCCATCTGCAAAAAGCCTACGGCTACACTTAATACAAAGTATTGAATACTTTCCCTTCAAGAGGGGGAACAAGGCAAGGATCCCCACTCTTACCATGCCTATTAAACATTGTACTGGAAGTACTAGCCATTATAATAAGGCAAGAAAGAGAAATAAAAGATATAGAGGATGAGAAGAAAGAAGAATAACTCTTTGTCAGTGACATGACATGTACATAGAAAATTCTAAGAAATCTATACAAAGTTACTTGAACTAATAAGTGAATTTAGAAAGGTTGCAAAATACAAAATCAGTATATAAAGATCAACTGTATTTTTATTTTATTTATTTTATTTTTATTTTATATTTATTATATACTAGTAATAGTCAACTGGAAATGGAATTTTAAAATTCTATTTACTTAGCAACCAAAATAAAATACTTAGAATAAGTTTTTAGAAGTACATACAAGCCCTGTATACTTCAAACTATGAAAATTGCTGACAAAAATTAATATTGGATTGGAAAACTCAATATTAAAATTCAGTTTGCTCTAAATTGATTTATAGATTCAGTGCCATCCCAATTAAAATGCCATTGGGCTTTTTTGGTAGATATTAACAAATGGGTTCCAAAATTTATGTGGAAATGCAAGCAAAGTATTTTTTTTTTTTTCAAGCAAAGTATTATTATATCTAAAACAATATTGAAAAAGAACAAAGTTGAAAGATTTACACTACCTGATTTCAAGATTTGCTATAATGCTATGCTATATACTAATGCTGTACTATGTACTAATCAAGACAATGTCATACTTTCATAAGGATAGCTATATAGATCAGTAAAAAAGAATACAGCACCTAGAAGTAAGCTTACACCTGTGCAGTTACTTGATTTTCTTTCTTTTTTTTTTTTTTTTTTTTTTTTTACAAGAAGCTCTAAGGTAATAGCTCGGAATTTTGGTGATGTGGGTTTGGGAGAAAAGTGAAAAAAAATGAATTTCAGTCTATGGGTGTTGGTATTCATGGGAGTCATTTTAAGAAATGTGCACTTACTGAAAGAGAACTCCATACTAGGATTTCTTTTCCTTGAGGTATATGTTAATCAATCACCTGGATAAGTGGTAATCAGAATATTGCTTCCAAAATACTATTTCTATAGAGCATGACTATCAGTTAACTGAAAACTTTTTTTTCCACACACACACACACACACACACACACACACACTGTATTTTATTTTTACAAGAGATAAATAAACTGACACCAAGCATTGTAAATGGATGACCGCAACAAAAGCAACAATGATTGCAATTACCAAACACGAAACACGAAACACTCATGCTGTGTCATAATATTGACATTCAGTCCAGTAATCCTCCACTGTAACGGCTCCTTTACTTTGCAGTGAAAATTGATTTGTATATTTTTGCCTCTGAGTCCTTGTGGGATTTTCTTTTCTATTTATTCAAACAGAAAGTCACAAAAATTATCATCATCCTCATCAGTTCACTCAGTCCCATGTAATTAATTTTTTTTCATCTTGATCTTTTTGTTAGCACTTTTATGAATTCATCAGTTTTCCATTAGAGTTCTGAAAATATTTATTCATTCAGTTCAGCAGTATAGTCAGTTACCAGAAACCTGTACTTGTCAGAGTCTTTTCCATGAATTCCTTGAAGATGAAACCCTTTTATAGGAACATTTTTGCAAAAGCATCAGAGTGTACCCAGAACTGTCTGTAAATGACAAAAGACTTAAAAATGACCACAGTTAAAGATTTGATGAAAGTTGATAATAATGCAATTGACAAGGAAATTTAGTTATTTCTGATATATGTTTTAAAGTAATAACTAGAATTATGACTTATAACATTATACCAGAACATATAAGATTTTTAGAAATTTCATGTAATGTCTGAAACATTTATATTAATATATTTCCATACAAATAACCCAAAGAAAGTTTAGTATTAGTTGTTTTTTTGTTTGTTTTTTTGTACTGCAGGTTCTTATCAGTCAATTGTATACACATCAGTGTATACATGTCACTTGATTTTCTAAAAAGCATGAAATCAATCAGGGGAGAAAGGAAAGTCATTTCTGCACATTGTGCTTGAACAACTAAATACCAACATGGGGAAAAAATAAACATGACACGACGTACTTCACACACCATATACAAACATCAATTCAAGATGCATCACAGACCTAAATGTAAATGCTAAAACTATGAAGCTTTTACAAGAAAACATGAGAATATCCTTGTGACTTGCATGTAGGCAAAGGTTTCGCAAAGACAGGACACAGAAACAATAATCATAAAAGATAAAAACTATAAATTCAAATGTATCTAAATGTAAAACTTCTGTTAAACTTCACTGTTAAAGTGAAAAGCCACAGGCTGTCAGAAAATAGTCACAAAAATTCACAAAAACGCATCTATGTAGGGGATTAGTATCCATGAAATATAAAGGCTTCTACAACTGAAAAATGAGAAGGCAAACCAATGAAAAATGAGCCAAAGATTTGAATATTTTTCAGAAGAAGATATAAGAATGACCACAAGCACATAGAAAAGTGATCAACATCATGAGCTGAGAAGGAAATGTACGTTCAGCCACAATGAAATACCACTATATATCCAGTATAATGGTTAAAATTTAAAAGACTGACAATACCATAGGTTGGCAAGGATGTGGAGCAGTTTGAACTCTCATACATCATTGGTGGGAATAGAAAATGATAGAGCACTGGAGAAAACCTTTTGGGAGTTTTTTAATCAAACTAATCATATACTTGCCCTATAACATAGCAGTTACAGTCCTCTGTGTATACCCAAGAGAAGTGAAAGCATGTCCACAAAAAGGCTTATCCGAGAATATTAATAGCAACTCTATTTGAAGGCCCCCAAACTGGAAATAGCCCAGCTGTCTGTCAGTAAGAAAATACATAAATGAACTGTGATGTATTCCTTATATGGAATACTGCTCAGCAATAAAAAGGAACATGAATAAATCTCAAACATGTTAAATGAAAGAAGCCTCACACAAAAGAGTTCACTACTGTGTGACTCCATTTATCTGAGATCCTAGAAGAGTTACAACTAATCTGTGATGGAAAAAAAAAATTAACACTGTTTGCCACTGGGGTCAAGAATGACTGGAAGGAGGTATGAGGGAACTTTCTGGAGTGAAGGTAACATTCTGTATCTTTATATAAGTTGGGGCCACACAGGTTTATGCATTTTTGAGAATTTATCAGGTGATACACTTAAGATTTGTGCATTTCGTTGTAAGTTTTGCCTCAAAAAAGGAAAAAGGAGATCTGAAAAAATATGGAACTCTAGTTAATGGCAAGCCTACTGAAATATTTAGGGACAGTGTACTAATGTTTATGATTTACTTTGAAATGCATCAAAAAATGTAAATGAATTGAAGGATTGATAGCTGGATGAGATATGTGATAAAGCAAGTCAGTGAACTGTTGATATATGGATGTTTGGTGCAGTATTCTTTCAGCTTTCTCTGTGTTTGAAAATTTTCATGATAAAATGTTGAAAGTGACTCAGGAGATGAAACCAGAGCATCTTTTTTCAGTAGAATGCGTTGATTTTTTGGTTTATGAAGCAGAGGCAATATAACGTAGTAGAGCTAGAACTGGTTCAAATCCAAGATCCTTGACTTACTAGCTGTGGGATCTTGGGATCTTACTGAATGATCTGTGCCTCAGTTTCCTCTAAAGTAATCAAAATCACAGTCATAGGGTTATTAAGATGGGTGGATGGATGGATGGATGGATGATACTTGGATTAGTTCTTACCACATATTAAGCTCCATATGTGTCAGTTACTAGCCAAGCATAATTGAAATACATACATTTAATTTAAGAAGCAAGTGTTTTCCTTGATTCTGCTTTAAATTTTCAAATTTCACCTTCTTTTAAAATATTTTATAGTTGAGATCGACAGCAGTTCTGGTAGAGGCATGATGAGGGAGGGGAGTAAGAGGAAAGTGGGGGAATGGATGGATGGAGAAATGAAAAGGACTGAGTTTTATGCATTTCAATAACAAGGTCACCATGTACTTGATGAGCCTTTTTTTAAAGCTTTTTTTTTTTAAGTATTTATGTTGCACATGTTTTTTTTTTTTACACACTAAAAACCACTCCGTTTTATTAATTAACATATAATAAGTTCACACATACTGTAAATAAAGTACATGTTTTCTGTATGTTCTACGGGAAATAGATGCATTGCATAAAACCTGTATTAATGTCTATAGATTGACCTAGACGCTGAGATGGTGAGCACTGTAGCTGGCGTTGGAATTCAAGGTACAGATAAAGAAGGTGGAGCTAAAGGAGAAGAACAGCCCATTAGTTCTCCTTGGGATGTAGTTTTTGGAAGGTCAGGTATGTAAAGTTTTGCTATTAAATATAAGTAAATTTTGCTAAGTAAAAGTTTTAAGATATTATGGGAACATTCATTTTTGACTAATTCTTTTACTAGTTATTTTATGCTTTTATACCAATGACTTGGGATTTGTTAATTGCATAAAAACAAAGCCAGCAGTAATATACAGAAGATAGAGTAAATATATCATTATATATTACGTGTAACATTACATACATATTATATTTTATACACAAGATAGGGTATGTATTTCTCTAATGTTAAAGAATTTCATCTTAGTTGCAGCTTCCAATTAAGATAGTTCTGAATATTCTGAAATTGGACGGACTATAGTTTCAGAATTTCAAAAGATTATTCACGCAGTATACTGTTTAACAATGTCCTTTTTATTTACCGTCACGTAAAAAATCAAGAAATGACAGCGGGGGTTTTTTTAGATTATCAATAAAATTTTTATTTAATTATTTTAGCTTCTTTTGAGTAGTTAAAAAAAACTTTACCTATATACAATGGAATATTACTCAGCCATCAAAAGAATGAAATCTTGCCATTTGTGACAACATGAATGGACCTAGAGGGTGAGAAAGACAAATACTGTATAATTTCGCCCATATGTGGAATCTAAAAACAAATGAGCAAACATAACAAAACAGAAAGAGAGTCATAGATACAGACAACAAACACGGAAGGGGATGGTGGGGATGAGTGAAATAGGTGAGGAAAATTGAGGTACAAATTTCCAGTTACAAAAGAAATGAGTCACAGGAATGCAATGTACAACATGAGGAATATAGTCAATAATAATACAATATCTTTGGTAACTAGACTTACGGTGTGATCATTTTGCAATGTATAGAAATATCAAATCACTACATTGTGTACCAGGAGCTATCAATAGAGTTGTAGTCGATTATACTTCAAAAAACAAACGTATAGAAAAAGAGATCAGATTTGTGGTCACCAGAGGGGTGGGGGATTTGGATGAAGGTGGTCAAAAGGTACAAAATTCCAGTTATAAGATACATAAGAAGTAGGGCTATAATGTACAACATGATTAATATAACTAACAATGCTGTATGTGTGTATGAAAGTTGTTAAGATAAGTAAATCCTAAGAGTTCCTAAGAGTTCTCATCATAAGGAAAAAGATTGTTTTTTCTTTTCTTTTTTAATCTGTATGAGGTGATGGATATTCACTAAGCTTAATGTAATTATTTCATGATGTATGTAAGTCAGATCATGTTGTACATCTTAAACTTATACAGTGCTATATATGTCAATTATATAAATAAAACTGGAAGAAAAAGTTAAGATTAAAAAATATAACTTAATTTAAAAAGTAAAAACTTTATCCTACTGAATTACTTAGATAATTGAAAATGAGATTTGCTTTATTTTTACAATCTTTGTTACCTATATATTACTTGACTAAAAGATAATCCAGGAGCGCTAGTGCTCTTATTTTTCACTGGCCCTCAGCGTTGCTGACATGGTTATCTACATGTTTAAAACCAGAGTAATAAAGAAAGAAATTTAGTAGAATATATTGAAAATGGAACTTGGAGCTAAATGGTTTGTATGATTTTAATATATTTATAGAGTGACTTAAGCACCATCTTAGTTGGATGATTTTACATTTGAGATAATTTTTTTATGATGCCAATTTGGTTATAATTCAAATACCTTAATTTTTTCATTGTGATTAACTTTTTATAAAGCTTTTAATATTTATAGAGTAACTGAATGAACTTCTGGTACTACCTGCACTTAATATATGTAACTTAGGTATTTTGTGTAAGTTATTTTTGAAAATTCCATTTTTGGAATTTGGTGCCCTAATAATGATGAGTTGTTTTAGTGGCTCACAGTGGGGAGGGGTTGAGAAGGTAGAGGGAGCAGTGTGTCTCAAGAGTAGTCAATAAGGGGATATATTATATGTAGAGATTTTTAAAACAATAAGAAAACCAACTACACCTCGATCTTCTTTTTATCACCATGCACCAGCAATTCTAAATAATTTGTGTTAAAAATACTCATCCCCATCAGGACTTAACCGGACTTGCCTCCCTGCTTTTGGTACACACCTGAGCTATTTGAACATAATCTTATAGATGGAAAAACAGTCTGAAATATATCTGTTAGTAAAATAGTCAAAGCGGATGAGAACTGTTATTTTGGTATGTTATTACCTTCCCTCAAGGAAAAAAAAAATTCTCTTAATATGTAAGCCCCCAGTGATTTATGGTTAATAGTCCATATAGGAATTCAGTTACTGATATTTATATTTTACATCTTACAGCCTGTATTTACTGTCTGTTAGTAATTGCCACAGTAAAGCTTCATAAGAAATCATCCCCAAACTCATATAAACCTAAACCTTTATTTCTCACTTACATACAGGGTTGGGGTTCAGTTGATCAAGGCTGAGCCTGGGCTTGGTTCCAGACTGTTTTCTGGGTCCAGATCTGCTCCATTTGTTTCTCCTTTTTCTTGAGCCAGTAGCTGACTGAGGTATATTCTTTTGGCAAAAGGCAGGAGCGCAGGAGAGTAAGACCAGTTACACACATTTAAAGCCTTTGCTCATGTCACATCTGCTTACCTACTGTCATTAAAGCAAGTCACAAAACTAAGCTGAAAGTTATGGGGCAGGGATATGCACTTTGCCTACAGTGAGGCAATGGCAAGGGTGTGGTTGTATTATTACCACAGAGGAATAAAGACTTGAGACCAGTAATTCAATCTGTTACATATTTCAGAATTTACATTGCTTAAAAACAGGGTGTACTTTACCGGATGCTTTACTAAGTTGGATTTATTTAATAAAGTACTTACATATTTTTATAGGCTAAAAATTTTTCAGTCATACTTTATGGCATGGAATTTCTGGTTGTTTATCTCATATTGAGAGTGTACCCAAATTGCTTTCCAAGAAAAATATTGGCTCTGTTGACAAGTACTCCCCAGCTTCCAACTGGAGTGATGTGCTGAGGCTCGTGTCTTTATTAAGCTCAGCTTTTAGAAAAGGAAGTGACTCCTACCTTAGCTCAATAGATCATTAAAAGCATATGGTTCCACATTTAACTTACAGTTTTAACTTAGCTTCACTCCAGGTACTTGGCAAGAGGAGTAATCTTGAATGCACTTAAATAAGCTCAACACCTTTCAAAATGCTAAGAGAAAATGGTTTTCAAGTACTGTGTGAAGGACTTCTAATCACAATGACTGCAAGAGTTACGTACCCAAGGCATTCATGGTTAGATTTGCGAAGTACTTAAATTTCCTAGAAATTCTATTTAAGGTTTGGAGGAGTTGGTCAGAGTCGCATCAGTTTCGAAGTGGTGTGTTACCCCAAAACATTTTAAGAGCCACTGCTTTAAATCACTCTGAAGTCTAATCCTGAATTAATGCATATTGTCAGAGTATATGGGGAAATTGGATCATAGAATAATTGCTCTCCTTACAATTGTTTTTACTTAATTGTATTTTGACATCATGTCATTCATTTAAAAATATATTGACACATCAACATATCTTACATTCATTCATATGTGTATATGTTTCATATTATATATTTCATCAAAACACGGTCCTGTGGGACTTCTGAACTGTTTTTACTATGAGGGTTTGCTGCTAATTTCAGTTATTATCTTATAAATAACCTCTCTGATGATCTACTAGAGAATTTTTCTGTGTTATAGATAATTATGTTTTTTTCTAAGTATCAAGTTTGTTTTTAAGCTCCTGGATAATTTGAATATCATAACTAATTGTGTTTGCATTGTTATATTGATTCCTAGGAAACTTAGAGACAGATTTGTCTCTAGCAAAGTGTAACGGAAACATGACATTCATTTTTTAATATTACTTGGCTGCATCTTTCTTTTCTACTCTATTTACCTATTGCTTCAATTTTCTTATTTTAAATCTATTTATCTTAATATGGTTTATTTCCTTGTAAACTACCTGAATACTTAGTGAAATAAAAGTAGAAGTAAATAAATCCAGTAGAATAATTTTTTTTTTTTTTTTGCGGTACGCAGGCCTCTCACTGCTGTGGCCTCTCCCGCTGCGGAGCACAGGCTCCGGATGCGCAGGCTCAGCGGCCATGGTCACGGGCCCAGCTGCATGTGGGATCTTCCCGGACCGGGGCACGAACCTGTGTCCCCTGCATCGGCAGGCGGACTGTCAACCACTGTGCCACCAGGGAAGCCCCAGTAGAATAATTTACTGAACTGATTGGGTATGATAATTGATCCATGTGGAAAAAAAATCTGTTAATCATAAAACTAAAAATGCTTTAAGAACAATAAATGTACATTTATAGAATGTACTTTTTTTTTTTTTTTTTTTTTTTTTTTTGCGGTATGTGGGCCTCTCACTGTTGTGGCCTCTCCCGTTGCGGAGCACAGGCTCCGGACACGCAGGCTCAGCGGCCATGGCTCACGGGCCCAGCCGCTCTGCGGCATGTGGGATCCTCCCAGGCCGGGGCATGAGCCCCTGTCCCCTGCATCAGCAGGCGGACTCTCAACCACTGCGCCACCAGGGAAGCCCTATAGAATGTACATTTTTAACCAGTCTTTTGATGTTTAAGTGTGTGTTTTCTGACAGTCTTATACCAATCACAATGTATTATTTTGGTTTCCTTAAACTGTGATGAGTTTTTAAAACACCTGCAAAGAAAACGGGGCTGAAATTTTTAAAACCTATTCTTTCCAATTGTCTTTCCACATCTTATTCACTAACAATTTGACTTTGCTACTTGCCTTTATTGTCTTTCCAAAGTATTAACTTTGTTTTCAGAGGAAAAACTTCCTTCCAATTCATTCATATTGAATTGGTAATTGTACAACTGGTTTAAGCAGATGTGGGATTAAATGCAACTTGAAGGGGACTGTGGTTAAGAAAAATGGTTCTTATAAAAAAGCACTTAAATTCTTTAATACTTTAAGAATTATATAGAATATTTCTGAAATTCTACCATAGTTAGGAGTATGAGAAAG